TTTGACCCCCCAGCCGGTCCATTGGACCCCAGGGGCGGATTTGAACCGGCCCATGGGTTCATCCAACCAGGAGGATCCCATCCCCCCTCGGTTATTTGACCCCCCACCCGGTTCATTCGACCCCAAGGGCGGATTTGAACCGGCCCATGGGTTCATCCAATTCAAGAGCCCATCCCCCCTCGGTTTCTTTTACCCCCCAGCCGGTTCATTTGACCCCAAGGGCGGATTAGAACCGGCCCATGGGTTCATCCATCCCTTGGGACCACCCCCCCTCGGTTTTTTTTTTACCCCCCGCCCGTCCATTGGACCCCAGGGGCGGGTTTGAACCGGCCCATGGGTTCATCCAACCCAGGATCCCATCCCCCCTCGGTTATTTGACCCCCCCGCCGGTTCATTTGACCCCAAGGGCGGATTTGAACCGGCCCATGGTTTCATCCGACCCAAGAGCCCATTCCCCCTCTGTAATCGACCCCCCAGCCGGTTCATTCGACCCCAAGGGCGGATTTGAACCGGCCCATGGTTCATCCAATTCAAGAGCCCATCCCCGCTCGGCCATTCTGACCCCCCCAGCCGGTTCATTTGACCCCAAGGGCGGATTTGAACCGGCCCATGGGCTCATCCAACCCTTGGGCCCATCCCCCCTCGGTTTTTTTACCCCCCACCCGGTCCATTGGACCCCTAGGGCGGATTTGAACCGGCCCATGGGCTCATCCAACCCAAGATCCCATCCCCCCTCGGTTATTTGACCCCCCCAGCCGGTCCATTGGACCCCAGGGGCGGATTTGAACCGGCCCATGGGTTCATCCAACCCAGGAGGATCCATCCCCCCTCGGTTATTTGACCCCCCACCCGGTTCATTCGACCCAAGGGCGGATTTGAACCGGCCCATGGGTTCATCCAATTCAAGAGCCCATCCCCCCTCGGTTTCTTTTACCCCCCAGCCGGTTCATTTGACCCCAAGGGCGGATTAGAACCGGCCCATGGGTTCATCCATCCCTTGGGACCACCCCCCCTCGGTTTTTTTTACCCCCCGCCCGGTCCATTGGACCCCAGGGGCGGGTTTGAACCGGCCCATGGGTTCATCCAACCCAGGATCCCATCCCCCCTCGGTTATTTGACCCCCCCGCCGGTTCATTTGACCCCAAGGGCGGATTTGAACCGGCCCATGGTTTCATCCGACCCAAGAGCCCATTCCCCTCTGTAATTCGACCCCCCAGCCGGTTCATTCGACCCCAAGGGCGGATTTGAACCGGCCCATGGGTTCATCCAATTCAAGAGCCCATCCCCGCTCGGCCATTCTGACCCCCCCAGCCGGTTCATTTGACCCCAAGGGCGGATTTGAACCGGCCCATGGGCTCATCCAACCCTTGGGCCCATCCCCCCTCGGTTTTTTACCCCCCACCCGGTCCATTGGACACCTAGGGCGGATCTGAACCGGCCCATGGGCTCATCCAACCCAAGATCCCATCCCCCCTCGGTTATTTGACCCCCCAGCCGGTCCATTGGACCCCAGGGGCGGATTTGAACCGGCCCATGGGTTCATCCAACCCAGGAGGATCCATCCCCCCTCGGTTATTTGACCCCCCACCCGGTTCATTCGACCCCAAGGGCGGATTTGAACCGGCCCATGGGTTCATCCAATTCAAGAGCCCATCCCCCCTCGGTTTCTTTTACCCCCCAGCCGGTTCATTTGACCCCAAGGGCGGATTAGAACCGGCCCATGGGTTCATCCATCCCTTGGGACCACCCCCCCTCGGTTTTTTTTTACCCCCCGCCCGGTCCATTGGACCCCAGGGCGGGTTTGAACCGGCCCATGGGTTCATCCAACCCAGGATCCCATCCCCCCTCGGTTATTTGACCCCCCCGCCGGTTCATTTGACCCCAAGGGCGGATTTGAACCGGCCCATGGTTTCATCCGACCCAAGAGCCCATTCCCCTCTGTAATTCGACCCCCCAGCCGGTTCATTCGACCCCAAGGGCGGATTTGAACCGGCCCATGGGTTCATCCAATTCAAGAGCCCATCCCCGCTCGGCCATTCTGACCCCCCCAGCCGGTTCATTTGACCCCAAGGGCGGATTTGAACCGGCCCATGGGCTCATCCAACCCTTGGCCCATCCCCCCTCGGTTTTTTACCCCCCACCCGGTCCATTGGACCCCTAGGGCGGATTTTGAACCGGCCCATGGGCTCATCCAACCAAATCCCATCCCCCCTCGGTATTTGACCCCCAGCCGGTCCATTGGACCCAGGGGCGGATTGAACCGGCCATGGGTTCATCCAACCCAGGAGATCCCTCCCCCCTCGGTTATTGACCCCTGTTGTGTGATGTCATCATATGCTATCACATTCTGTCTGCCTCCTCATCTCATGTTTCAATTGTATGTATGGTTTGACTGTGTTGAAGAATTTGTGTGTGGTGTGTTCTGGAGTTTGGGAATGTGTTTTGTGTTATTCTGTCTGAGCAGGTATTTGTGATGATAGATCTTGAGAAGATCTTTCCGACGCAACAAGAATCGCTTCAATCGGAGCAAGAACGCGAAAGCTATGAAGATTCAAAGTTCATGAGCTTGCGTTACAATTGCGGCGGTTACAAAGTGAAGTTGTGGGGTGACTTTATATGGAGTTGGGACCTTTGGGGTTGGGGAAACTTGTCACTCTACTGTAACAGCTGCAAATTGGTTGGGAACAACCAAGCTAGGTTGGCAAGGGTGGCCAACTTGGATGGATTGGTTGGGAAGGGACAAAGGTCAAAGTTGAGGTTCCTATAGGGAGGGAATCTTTGTGCTTATGGGGTTTCCTTGGTTGGGGACTCTCTTGGGACCTTCCCTCTCATCCTCTCTTCCTATCCCAACCTTTCTCTTGCTCCTTCTAATTCCTTGTGAGATTCTTGAACTTTGATTGAACTCTTGAGATTGAGTTAAGTTCTCCTCCTACAGCTTACCCCCTAGTGCGTCGAAAGCCATAGCGTCGCGAATACTTCATCAATCAACGTGATTCAAATTGGGAACGGTAGCTGAGATCAAGAGCTACAACATATCCAAGTTTCGCGACATTCCAACGGCTAGTGTTTTGTCGACGTCGTTTCTTGTGAAGACGACTTTTCTGTCCAGAATTTCGGATTTATATTTTGAGTAATTCTAGCTCCTAAGTTCACCTAGACTCTGTCCTTAATCCTAACAAGTGGTATCAGAGCTGTATTAAGGACGTTGAGAGGAGTCTACAGAAGTGTGAAGACCCTTCTAGACCCACCATGGCCTGTGGGTGTGCCTAAGTGGTGTTCTAAAGGTTGGATGTGTCTTCCGCTAAGGGGAAACTCTGCCGAAATTTCGTGGACGCCGACACTTGTGAAAATATCGAGGGAGCTGAGTGTGGACAGCAAAGGGGAGCTGAAATTCGTCATTTCTCAAGGAGAAGATGAATGAGAGAGGAGGAGATGCTAATGGAAGAGGAGCTGTAGCTGAGAAGACAAGTGAGCCGCCGCCATCAAAAGTTGAAGCTTTGGATGGCTCCAACTATGAGGAATGGAGCGGGCGGATGAGGAGTGCCTTCAAACGCTACAAGCTACTGAAGATTGCTGTTGGGGAGGAGAAGATGCCGGAAGAAGGCGAAGCACGTGAACGGTGGATTGAGAAAAGCGCGGTGCTTTTCGACCTCATCCTTCAATCGGTCAACAAGGAGATGTTCGAGCACATCAAGGATCTTGTGGAAGCGGATGATTCGGGTCCAAGGGCGTGGAAACTACTACGTGATGTGATTCAGCCCAACACTCTCCCAATGGTGATCGTGCTCGAGAAGGAACTTGCTGCCATCTCCATGCGACCAGGGGATGATGTGAAGCCGGTCCTTGACAAGATCAAGGACACCTATGCAACGATGGCAGCAGCGGGCAGCAGTGTATCTCAGCTGCAGCAGTGCACCAAGATCATCTCGGTGTTGGACAACTCTTGGGACAACCTCATCCCCACCCTCAACTCTCAGCAAGATCAATGGACACCTGAGTGGCTAAGGCAGCAGATTCTGCAGGAGGACTTCCGCAGACGCCATGTGGGAGGCGGTGCTGCCACTAAGACTGCTGAGGGGTATGGAGCTGCAAGGCGCGGCAGAGGAAGAGGGGGTTGGAGAGGCCGAGGCCGTGGGAGGAGCTTTGGCAGAGGTAGAGGCCGAGGTGACTATAATGAGGGGCATGGGAGCTCCAGTGGCAGGGGGAGTACCAGAATGGAGGGCACCTGCTGGTACTGCAAGAAGGTCGGGCATCCTTGGTTCAAGTGCTTCAGCAGCCGGAGGGATGGGCACCTCCAGGCATGAAGCCGCCAAGTGGTGAACGCGCACAAGGTGGCGCTGTGCAAGGCTCAGGTGCACAAGGTGAAGGTGCACAAGGTAACGCCTATCCTGGGATGTATCTCATGGTTGAGGATGTGCATGGGCATGAGGGTGATGTGGGATCTGTCGGAAAGGTTGTGATGCACCCTCTCACGCACTGGGTGATTGATTCGGGTTGCACCAGTCACATGACTCCACGGGCAGATTTGCTTGATGAGGTAAAACCCCCTGGGAAGATTAAGTATGTGGCAGCAGCGTCAGGTGCTTTGCTCCCCGTGATTGGTGTTGGGAATGCCAAGGTTAAGGGAGCTAATGGGGAGCTTGTGGGGCTTGGGAATGTTCTGCTGGTTGAAGGCTTGTCTGCTAACCTTCTCTCTGTGCGACGACTGCAGAAGAGCAAGGCCGAAGTGACCTTTGGACCAACCAGCTGCCGTGCTAAGCTTGGGAAGAAGGTGCTGTGGAGTCTGGAAGAGGAGACCAGCTGCATCAAGGACCTGTGGCAGCTGCCCATCATCCCATGGAATGGGAAGACTCCAACAGCAGCAACGGCAGCAGCGGCAAAGGCAACAGCAGGAGGAGATGCAACTGCACCAACTGATGGGGTCCTGGAAGCAGTCAAGAAAGTGCAGCAGCAGCAGACACATGGTGAGGTGCTTGCTGGTGTGGATGCAAGTGCGGCATGGGCTAAGGCTTCACCAAGGAGTGGAGAGGCCGATTGGGAGACATGGCATGAGAGGCTGTGTCATGTGAACTTCCCTATGCTGCAGAAGTTGGTGAAGGATGGGAGCCTGAAGGGCTTGGAGGTGAAAGGGGGAGTGAAGGAGATTGGGAGCTGCCCTACATGCTTGGAGACCAAGTTCTCCAAGTTCCCCTTCAACAGCACTACAGGACCAGCCAAGACCCCACTTGCACTTGTGCACATGGATGTGGTGGGGCCCACAAGAGCCCCTTCCCTCTCAGGCAGCCGCTATTTCTTGACAATTGTGGATGACCACACTCGGGCAGTGTGGGTTTACCCTTTGAAGAGCAAGGGGGAGGTGGCAGCGGCTGTCCTTAAGGAGTGGATGCCGAGAGCTCAGAGGGAATGCGGACACAAGGTGAAGGTGATCCGCAGTGACAATGGTGGGGAGTTCATTGGAGCTGATTTTGAGGGGGAGTTGAAGAGGAAGGGGATCCAGCATCAACTGACAGTGCCCTACAACCCGCAGCAGAATGGCGTGGCTGAGAGGTTCAACAGGACCCTGCAGGAGGGGGCACGCACTCTCCTTGGGCGTGCAGGGCTGCCTGATCCGTTTTGGGTGTCTGCACTGAGGCAGGTCGCCCTTGTGAAGAATAGGTGCTGGCTACAGTTGGGATAAGGAGTGGATCCCATATACCAAGTGGTATGGGAGTGCTCCAGCTGTGAATATGCTGAGGGCATTTGGGTGCATGGTGTGTTTCATGTGCCTAAGGAGAAAAGGGGGAAGTTGGAGGCTTCTGGAAGATGGGGTGTGCACTTGGGGATTGCAAAGGATCACAAGGGGTGGCTTCTATGGGACTTGACCATCCAGAAGCTGACAGTGTCAAGGGATGTGAAGTTTCTTGAGTCCCTGTACTATAAGGAATGGAAGCAGCAGCAACAGAAGCTTCCATCTACACCACTCATTGTGGAGGCAGATGAGTTGCAGCAGCCTTCAAGGCAGGTGGAGGTTGCAGTGTCTGAGGAGGAGATATCTGGGGTGACTGAGAAGGGGGAGCAGCTGAAGTGGAGCAGCAGCAGCAACATGAGTCTCCACCTCGAGTTCCACACCCGCCTGAGCGACCTAGGAGGGATGTGCGCCCTCCTGTGAGGCTGACCTATGGGGGAAGAGGCAAGCCAATGTGGTGCAGGCTGGGAGTGTGGTTGAGCAGATTGAGGAAGATGAGATCGCTCACTGCTACTGGGCACCAATCCCTGAGCCCAAGACTCGAGAAGAGGCCTTGAATGGACCAAATGGGGAGAAGTGGAAGGCGAGTGAGGATGAGGAGTTCGGGTCCCTAATTGAGAACGAGACATGGGACCTGTGTGACTTGCCTCCTGGAAAGAAGGCAATCACTTCCAAGATGATCTACAGGCACAAGTATGGACCTGAAGGGGAGCTGACCCGCTACAAGTCTAGGCTTGTGGCACGGGGGTTTCAGCAGACAAAGGGGAAGGACTATGATGAGGTGTTTGCTCCTGTGGGGAAAGGAACAACACTGAGGGTGCTGTTGGCGATAGCTGCACTCCTGGGATGGAAGATACGGCAGATGGACATTGTGACTGCCTTTCTGAATGGGATCATTCTGGAGGAGGTGTACATGAACAGCCAGAGGGCTGGATGACGGGAGCGGCAGGGTCTGCAGGCTGAAGAAGGCCATCTATGGCCTTAAGCAGGCGCCTCGTGCATGGTATCACAAGTTGGAGGAGGCGCTGTTGGCTGGGGGTTTCAAGAAGAGTGAGTGTGACCCCAGCCTGTTCCTGCTGCAGGAGAAGGATGAAATCCTCATGCTCTTGGTGTATGTGGATGATATCCTTCTCTTTTCTGCATCCACTGCTTTGCTGGACAGCGCAGAGCAGATGCTGGAGATGCAGTTCAAGTGCTCCAAGATGGGTGAGGTGAAGTACTACTTGGGGATGCACGTGGAGAGAGATGTGGAAAAGGGTGTGCTGAGGTTGCACCAGAGGAAGTACTGTGAGGGGCTGGCTGAGAAGTATGGGCTGCAAGATGGGGGAAAGCCAGCAACACCACTACCTTCAGGGTTTACTGTGGAGCCATGTGCTGATGAGGAGGTAGTGGGTGAGAGTGACAGGAAGCTGTTTCATTCGATGGTTGGGTCGCTGAATTATGCTGCAAATCATACACGGCCTGACATTGCATTTTCTACATCACGGTTGGCTAGTGTGGTCTCACGCCCTAGTCATGAGCAGCTGGAAGCGGCCAAGAGGTTGGTCCGCTATGTGAGTGCTACGGCATCAGTGGGATTGGAGTACAGTGGAGTGAGGCAGCGGTTGCAGAGAGGTGCTGCAGATGTGAAGAGTGGTGAGATGCTCTTGAGTTGCTATACTGACGCTAGCTTCAACTCAGTGAAAGCGGATGGCACCAGCATTGGGGGTTATGTGTGCTTGCTAGGAGGTGGTGCTGTGAGCTGGCGCAGCAAGAAGCAGAATGAGGTGGGATTGTCTTCATGTGAGACTGAGTACATGGCCTTACACCATGGGGCCAAGGAAGTGGTATGGCTGAGGCGTTTGTTGGAGGAGTTGGGAGTTGGTCAGGAGGAGCCGACAGTTGTGTTCTGTGACAATGAGTCTGCAGTGAAGCTGGCCAAGAATGCTTGTCTGCATGGGCTGACAAAACACATAAGGCCTAAGTGGCATTGGGTGAGGAGACTCCTTGATAAGGAGGTGCGGCTGGAGATAGTGAAGACCCATCAGCAGGCAGCAGATATTTTCACTAAGCGTCTGGCGGAGGCGGATCATTGGAAGGGCATGAAGCTTGCTGGGATGAGTGTGCATTGAGTATGCATGCTTGAGATGTGGTATGGTCGATGATGGTTGGCAGCCAGAGGGGGAGATTGTTGTGTGATGTCATCATATGCTATCACATTCTGTCTGCCTCTCATCTCTTGTTTCAATTCGTATGTATGGTTTGACTGTGTGTGAAAGAATTTGTGTGTGGTGTGTTCTGGAGTTTGGGAATGTGTTTTGTGTTATTCTGTCTGAGCAGGTATTTGTGATGATAGATCTTGAGAAGATCTTTCCGACGCAACAAGAATCGCTTCAATCGGAGCAAGAACGCGAAAGCTATGAAGATTCAAAGTTCATGAGCTTGCGTTACAATTGCGGCGGTTACAAAGTGAAGTTGTGGGGTGACTTTATATGGAGTTGGGACCTTTGGGGTTGGGGAAACTTGTCACTCTACTGTAACAGCTGCAAATTGGTTGGGAACAACCAAGCTAGGTTGGCAAGGGTGGCCAACTTGGATGGATTGGTTGGGAAGGGACAAAGGTCAAAGTTGAGGTTCCTATAGGGAGGGAATCTTTGTGCTTATGGGGTTTCCTTGGTTGGGGACTCTCTTGGGACCTTCCCTCTCATCCTTCTCTTCCTATCCCAACCTTTCTCTTGCTCCTTCTAATTCCTTGTGAGATTCTTGAACTTTGATTGAACTCTTGAGATTGAGTTAAGTTCTCCTCCTACAGCTTACCCCCTAGTGCGTCGAAAGCCATAGCGTCGCGAATACTTCATCAATCAACGTGATTCAAATTGGGAACGGTAGCTGAGATCAAGAGCTACAACATATCCAAGTTTCGCGACATTCCAACGGCTAGTGTTTTGTCGACGTCGTTTCTTGTGAAGACGACTTTTCTGTCCAGAATTTCGGATTTATATTTTGAGTAATTCTAGCTCCTAAGTTCACCTAGACTCTGTCCTTAATCCTAACACCCCCCACCCGGTTCATTCGACCCCAAGGGCGGATTTGAACCGGCCCATGGGTTCATCCAATTCAAGAGCCCATCCCCCCTCGGTTTCTTTTACCCCCCAGCCGGTTCATTTGACCCCAAGGGCGGATTAGAACCGGCCCATGGGTTCATCCATCCCTTGGGACCACCCCCCCTCGGTTTTTTTTTACCCCCCGCCCGGTCCATTGGACCCCAGGGGCGGGTTTGAACCGGCCCATGGGTTCATCCAACCCAGGATCCCATCCCCCCTCGGTTATTTGACCCCCCCGCCGGTTCATTTGACCCCAAGGGCGGATTTGAACCGGCCCATGGTTTCATCCGACCCAAGAGCCCATTCCCCCTCCGTAATTCGACCCCCCAGCCGGTTCATTCGACCCCAAGGGCGGATTTGAACCGGCCCATGGGTTCATCCAATTCAAGAGCCCATCCCCGCTCGGCCATTCTGACCCCCCCAGCCGGTTCATTTGACCCCAAGGGCGGATTTGAACCGGCCCATGGGCTCATCCAACCCTTGGGCCCATCCCCCCTCGGTTTTTTTACCCCCCACCCGGTCCATTGGACCCCTAGGGCGGATTTGAACCGGCCCATGGGCTCATCCAACCCAAGATCCCATCCCCCCTCGGTTATTTGACCCCCCAGCCGGTCCATTGGACCCCAGGGGCGGATTTGAACCGGCCCATGGGTTCATCCAACCCAGGAGGATCCCATCCCCCCTCGGTTATTTGACCCCCACCCGGTTCATTCGACCCCAAGGGCGGATTTGAACCGGCCCATGGGTTCATCCAATTCAAGAGCCCATCCCCCCTCGGTTTCTTTTACCCCCCAGCCGGTTCATTTGACCCCAAGGGCGGATTTGAACCGGCCCATGGGTTCATCCATCCCTTGGGACCACCCCCCCTCGGTTTTTTTTTACCCCCCGCCCGGTCCATTGGACCCCAGGGGCGGGTTTGAACCGGCCCATGGGTTCATCCAACCCAGGATCCCATCCCCCCTCGGTTATTTGACCCCCCCGCCGGTTCATTTGACCCCAAGGGCGGATTTGAACCGGCCCATGGTTTCATCCGACCCAAGAGCCCATTCCCCCTCTGTAATTCGACCCCCCAGCCGGTTCATTCGACCCCAAGGGCGGATTTGAACCGGCCCATGGGTTCATCCAATTCAAGAGCCCATCCCCGCTCGGCCATTCTGACCCCCCAGCCGGTTCATTTGACCCCAAGGGCGGATTTGAACCGGCCCATGGGCTCATCCAACCCTTGGGCCCATCCCCCCTCGGTTTTTTTACCCCCCACCCGGTCCATTGGACACCTAGGGCGGATCTGAACCGGCCCATGGGCTCATCCAACCCAAGATCCCATCCCCCCTCGGTTATTTGACCCCCCAGCCGGTCCATTGGACCCCAGGGGCGGATTTGAACCGGCCCATGGGTTCATCCAACCCAGGAGGATCCCATCCCCCCTCGGTTATTTGACCCCCCACCCGGTTCATTCGACCCCAAGGGCGGATTTGAACCGGCCCATGGGTTCATCCAATTCAAGAGCCCATCCCCCCTCGGTTTCTTTTACCCCCCAGCCGGTTCATTTGACCCCAAGGGCGGATTAGAACCGGCCCATGGGTTCATCCATCCCTTGGGACCACCCCCCCTCGGTTTTTTTTTTACCCCCCGCCCGGTCCATTGGACCCCAGGGGCGGGTTTGAACCGGCCCATGGGTTCATCCAACCCAGGATCCCATCCCCCCTCGGTTATTTGACCCCCCCGCCGGTTCATTTGACCCCAAGGGCGGATTTGAACCGGCCCATGGTTTCATCCGACCCAAGAGCCCATTCCCCCTCTGTAATTCGACCCCCCAGCCGGTTCATTCGACCCCAAGGGCGGATTTGAACCGGCCCATGGGTTCATCCAATTCAAGAGCCCATCCCCGCTCGGCCATTCTGACCCCCCCAGCCGGTTCATTTGACCCCAAGGGCGGATTTGAACCGGCCCATGGGCTCATCCAACCCTTGGGCCCATCCCCCCTCGGTTTTTTTACCCCCCACCCGGTCCATTGGACCCCTAGGGCGGATTTGAACCGGCCCATGGGCTCATCCAACCCAAGATCCCATCCCCCCTCGGTTATTTGACCCCCCAGCCGGTCCATTGGACCCCAGGGGCGGATTTGAACCGGCCCATGGGTTCATCCAACCCAGGAGGATCCCATCCCCCCTCGGTTATTTGACCCCCCACCCGGTTCATTCGACCCCAAGGGCGGATTTGAACCGGCCCATGGGTTCATCCAATTCAAGAGCCCATCCCCCCTCGGTTTCTTTTACCCCCCAGCCGGTTCATTTGACCCCAAGGGCGGATTAGAACCGGCCCATGGGTTCATCCATCCCTTGGGACCACCCCCCCTCGGTTTTTTTTTACCCCCCGCCCGGTCCATTGGACCCCAGGGGCGGGTTTGAACCGGCCCATGGGTTCATCCAACCCAGGATCCCATCCCCCCTCGGTTATTTGACCCCCCCGCCGGTTCATTTGACCCCAAGGGCGGATTTGAACCGGCCCATGGTTTCATCCGACCCAAGAGCCCATTCCCCCTCTGTAATTCGACCCCCCAGCCGGTTCATTCGACCCCAAGGGCGGATTTGAACCGGCCCATGGGTTCATCCAATTCAAGAGCCCATCCCCGCTCGGCCATTCTGACCCCCCCAGCCGGTTCATTTGACCCCAAGGGCGGATTTGAACCGGCCCATGGGCTCATCCAACCCTTGGGCCCATCCCCCCTCGGTTTTTTTACCCCCCACCCGGTCCATTGGACCCCTAGGGCGGATTTGAACCGGCCCATGGGCTCATCCAACCCAAGATCCCATCCCCCCTCGGTTATTTGACCCCCCAGCCGGTCCATTGGACCCCAGGGGCGGATTTGAACCGGCCCATGGGTTCATCCAACCCAGGAGGATCCCATCCCCCCTCGGTTATTTGACCCCCCACCCGGTTCATTCGACCCCAAGGGCGGATTTGAACCGGCCCATGGGTTCATCCAATTCAAGAGCCCATCCCCCCTCGGTTTCTTTTACCCCCCAGCCGGTTCATTTGACCCCAAGGGCGGATTAGAACCGGCCCATGGGTTCATCCATCCCTTGGGACCACCCCCCCTCGGTTTTTTTTTACCCCCCGCCCGGTCCATTGGACCCCAGGGGCGGGTTTGAACCGGCCCATGGGTTCATCCAACCCAGGATCCCATCCCCCCTCGGTTATTTGACCCCCCCGCCGGTTCATTTGACCCCAAGGGCGGATTTGAACCGGCCCATGGTTTCATCCGACCCAAGAGCCCATTCCCCCTCTGTAATTCGACCCCCCAGCCGGTTCATTCGACCCCAAGGGCGGATTTGAACCGGCCCATGGGTTCATCCAATTCAAGAGCCCATCCCCGCTCGGCCATTCTGACCCCCCCAGCCGGTTCATTTGACCCCAAGGGCGGATTTGAACCGGCCCATGGGCTCATCCAACCCTTGGGCCCATCCCCCCTCGGTTTTTTTACCCCCCACCCGGTCCATTGGACACCTAGGGCGGATTTGAACCGGCCCATGGGCTCATCCAACCCAAGATCCCATCCCCCCTCGGTTATTTGACCCCCCAGCCGGTCCATTGGACCCCAGGGGCGGATTTGAACCGGCCCATGGGTTCATCCAACCCAGGAGGATCCCATCCCCCCTCGGTTATTTGACCCCCCACCCGGTTCATTCGACCCCAAGGGCGGATTTGAACCGGCCCATGGGTTCATCCAATTCAAGAGCCCATCCCCCCTCGGTTTCTTTTACCCCCCAGCCGGTTCATTTGACCCCAAGGGCGGATTAGAACCGGCCCATGGGTTCATCCATCCCTTGGGACCACCCCCCCTCGGTTTTTTTTTACCCCCCGCCCGGTCCATTGGACCCCAGGGGCGGGTTTGAACCGGCCCATGGGTTCATCCAACCCAGGATCCCATCCCCCCTCGGTTATTTGACCCCCCCGCCGGTTCATTTGACCCCAAGGGCGGATTTGAACCGGCCCATGGTTTCATCCGACCCAAGAGCCCATTCCCCCTCTGTAATTCGACCCCCCAGCCGGTTCATTCGACCCCAAGGGCGGATTTGAACCGGCCCATGGGTTCATCCAATTCAAGAGCCCATCCCCGCTCGGCCATTCTGACCCCCCCAGCCGGTTCATTTGACCCCAAGGGCGGATTTGAACCGGCCCATGGGCTCATCCAACCCTTGGGCCCATCCCCCCTCGGTTTTTTTACCCCCCACCCGGTCCATTGGACCCCTAGGGCGGATTTGAACCGGCCCATGGGCTCATCCAACCCAAGATCCCATCCCCCCTCGGTTATTTGACCCCCCAGCCGGTCCATTGGACCCCAGGGGCGGATTTGAACCGGCCCATGGGTTCATCCAACCCAGGAGGATCCCATCCCCCCTCGGTTATTTGACCCCCCACCCGGTTCATTCGACCCCAAGGGCGGATTTGAACCGGCCCATGGGTTCATCCAATTCAAGAGCCCATCCCCCCTCGGTTTCTTTTACCCCCCAGCCGGTTCATTTGACCCCAAGGGCGGATTAGAACCGGCCCATGGGTTCATCCATCCCTTGGGACCACCCCCCCTCGGTTTTTTTTTTACCCCCCGCCCGGTCCATTGGACCCCAGGGGCGGGTTTGAACCGGCCCATGGGTTCATCCAACCCAGGATCCCATCCCCCCTCGGTTATTTGACCCCCCCGCCGGTTCATTTGACCCCAAGGGCGGATTTGAACCGGCCCATGGTTTCATCCGACCCAAGAGCCCATTCCCCCTCCGTAATTCGACCCCCCAGCCGGTTCATTCGACCCCAAGGGCGGATTTGAACCGGCCCATGGGTTCATCCAATTCAAGAGCCCATCCCCGCTCGGCCATTCTGACCCCCCCAGCCGGTTCATTTGACCCCAAGGGCGGATTTGAACCGGCCCATGGGCTCATCCAACCCTTG